TAGCAGCATGTTTTGTCTGCTATGACTTGGACAACATCACAGCATGTTCTCGTTGTGGCATGGCTTACCTGTGTGGCAAACATCGTCAAACTGATGAACACCTAAGTGAACACAACCAACACTGTGCTATGCTGGCAGCACTCAGACGTCGCATGTCGCAGTAAGTTAAGAGTGCTGTCTTCGGCTCACATGAGTGAGTGTTTGCTGCGCGTGCCGTGTGCTGTGTACTGTGTGCTGTGTACTGTGTGCTGTGTACTGTGTGCTGTGTGCTGTGTGCTGTGTGCTGTGTACTGTGTGCTGTGTGCTGTGTACTGTGTGCTGTGTACTGTGTACTGTGTGCTGTGTACTGTGTACTGTGTGCTGTGTACTGTGTACTGTGTGCTGTGTGCTGTGTACTGTGTGCTGTGTACTGTGTACTGTGTACTGTGTGCTGTGTACTGTGTACTGTGTACTGTGTACTGTGTGCTGTGTACTGTGTGCTGTGTACTGTGTACTGTGTACTGTGTACTGTGTACTGTGTGCTGTGTGCTGTGTACTGTGTGCTGTGTACTGTGTCCTGTGTGCTGTGTCCTGTGTACTGTGTACTGTGTACTGTGTTCTGTGTGCCGCGTACACCCATGGCCTACAGAGTAAGTGGACCTTTCTCTGCCGAGGCATGCCAGCTATGGATGAGCACCTGCTTCCACTTGATGATGCTGTGTCCAACATGCTGATCCCTGCCCTTCTCCCCTGCCCTTCTCCCCTGCCCTTCTGGGCAGAAGGGCAGGGACCGTTGAATACCCAGGAGCGCAGCCTCCTTGCTCTTCCGTGTCGCTTCGGCGGTCTCGGGCTGCCCCACCCATCGTCGCGAGCCTCCCAATATCAGTCTTCTCGAGACATCACCGCGCCCCTGACAAGCCGTATCTTGGTCCAAGATATGGAATTAGGCACCGCCATTGACGATGTACGCGCTGCCCAGAAGCAAGCGAAGAACACAGTTGACGCCTCGGTTCGGGCTGATGCTGTGCTTCTTTCCTCATGTGTGGATACTGAGTTGCAGCGGGTCATTGCGCTAGCGTCGGAGAAGGGAGCTTCTTCCTGGCTGACCTGTCGACCCTTGAAGCGGCATGGCTTGACCCTCACCAAGGGTCAGTTCCGCGACGGAATCCACTTGCGCTACGGCTGGCTTCCACAGCGACTGCCATCATCTTGCAGCTGTGGAGCCACATTTTCAGTCGCTCACGCTTTGTCTTGCCCCACAGGGGAGTTTCCGTCGGTGCGGCACAATGAGGTACGTGACCTCACTGCCCATATGCTGAAGCGAGTGGCTCACAATGTCTCCGTGGAGCCCCACCTGCAGCCGGTCACTGGGGAGCAGTTCCGGTATCGCACCGCTATCCAGACTGAGCAGGCCCGTCTCGACGTTGCGGCAAGTGGCATCTGGGGTGGCCGGTTTGAGCGCACCTTCATCGATGTGAGGGTTTTCAATCCTCATGCGACCTCAAACCGCGCCACCTCCATTGCCTCATGCTACACCAAGCACGAGAAGGAGAAGCGGCGCTGCTACGAGCAACGTGTCCGCGACATAGAGCATTCGTCGTTTGTTCCGGCCATATTCTCTACCACTGGTGGTTTGGGCAAGCACGCGGAGTCGCTCTACAAGCGGATAGCTTCTCTTCAAGCCGCGAAGACTGGAGAAGCATACAGCTGTGTTATGTCTTGGGTTCGATGCAAATTGAGTTTTGCCCTACTCCGGTCCAGCGTGATGTGTTTGCGCGGATCCCGGAATCTTCGGCCGGTGCAGTTGGACTCACCTCCCACCTTGGCGGTTGCTGAGGCGGGCATTCGCATTTGATACCATTTGCCTCTGGTTTTGACTGTATTGGCTTCGTCTGTGCTCTTTTCATCCTACTACTAGTAGTTTTCAGTCCGTTATTGGGCGGCTGCACTCCAGCTCTGCTTTGCACTTCTCTTAACATCTTTTTCGTTCACACGTTTCAAAAAGATTTGCAATCCACACTGTGTGCTGTGTGCTGTGTACTGTGTACTGTGTACTGTGTACTGTGTACTGTGTACTGTGTGCTGTGTACTGTGTGCTGTGTACTGTGTACTGTGTACTGTGTGCTGTGTACTGTGTGCTGTGTACTGTGTACTGTGTACTGTGTACTGTGTACTGTGTACTGTGTACTGTGTACTGTACTTACTTCATGTCAGTACATGTACTTTAAATGTGGTACAAGAGAACCACAGCTGTGTCTGTGGAAGGGGAAGGCTTACACGGTGGTATTTGCTCCAGATCTTTGGTTTTGGCTGCGTCACAACATGGTTTGTTCGAATCGTCTATGTCTGCATTGCCAATTATGGGACCCTGGTTCCAAGTAACCCTGTGGCAATGGCTCCATGGGACAGTTGTCTGCGTGTGCACATATGTGTGTGTGTGTGCAAGTTTCTGTGTCTGTATATGTGTGTGTGTGTGTGTGTGTGTGTGTGTGTGTGTGTGTGTGCGCGCATGCGCGTGTGTGTGTGTGCGTGTACATATAATGTGCATCTTCAAGAGTGGGTGATTGTATGCTTGTACCATTGAGTTCGGTTGGTGGGTGCACTCACAGAAGAACATTACTGTTCCAGGACCATATATTCTCTATAATCTGAGTTTGCAATGTGCAGCCCACACTAGTATCAAGTGTTAACTTCACTGGGCCAGGGGTACATGCAAGTGGAACTCGGGACGCGGATCCCCTCATGCCAACCTCTTTCTTCACCTTGGTCTCACCGGCCCGGTTGCTGCGGTGTTGTGAGTGAGATCATAACCAGTCCAGCCAGAGTTGGGGATTGCAAGGTGTGGTGGCTGTTGGGTGGGGCAATAACCAATGGAGTCACTTTTGTAGGACTCCTTCAGCTGTGTGCGCATCTGCATGCATGCATGTGTGTTTGTGTGTATGTGTGTCGACATGTACGTGTGTTCTCTGTATGTGTGCACATGCATGTATGTGTGTGTGTGTGTGCGTGTGTGTCTGTGTGTTTGTGTGTGTATACGCGATTCCCCGTTGCACATTCTACAGGGCTAGCTGAGCTTCTGAAGATCTCTACTGGATAGTGTTTAGCAGTTGAGATTGGTGAAAGTGACCAGCACTGGACAGGGATCATTTCAAGCAGCTACTGCAGTAAGAGATACTCCAACAGCACACTACCTGTCATTGATCACAACACTGTGACATCACTTGTATAGACATGATGTATACAGATTGTCTATGACACACACAGTGTTGTGTTACTATGTAGATATAATGATCAACTGAACTACATGTACTGTCTAGTCCAGTCTACTGTGGTATCAGTTTTACTGAATGTGTTCATGTCTACTCTCACCTACTGTTTTTACACTAGTCACTGTACAGAATAGTTACCGGTATGTCAGTTAAACCTGGAAAACTATACTCTACAAATGTTTATACTGCAATGTATATTGCCATAGCAGTGTCAGGCATACCCTGTACATACAAGTTCATGCTATTACCCTTGAAGTACACCTCATATTTTACTCCAGTATTGAAATCTAGCAGCACTGCTAATACTCATGTGACAATGTAGAAATGCTTACCGAGTCTTGAACCAGTTTTTGTCAAGCCAAGTCAATCCTTTTGAAAATTATACATCACTCGGAATGAACTAAAGACATTTTCCTTCAGGCAGTGTTTCATCAGAATTGAATAATATTTCAATGAGATTCTCATTCAAAAAATCTCTCAAAATGGTATACAGTTGACCCGACTGCTCCACGGATGCTGGTTGCTATGAACAATGACCATTCAGTATAATTGTATTGCTTGTGTGCATGCCTACTTGATGTTGAACACAAAGCAGCCACATCATCTGCTACAATCACAACCCTTCCGCAGTCACTAGTGGAGCGCATGTTTTAAAGGTGGTTTTAATTCCCGTAGCTATGCAGAAGACGTTACTTCAGTTACGTCTGGCGCTAGCCAGGGTCCACACAGCTTTAATTTGGTGTTTGTTTGTTTGTGGCGGACGGACGGACCTCCGTCTGGCGCTATCCCGTATCTGTCCCGTACCGTACCATCAAGGACAGCTGGCCACAATATTCAAATAGGGCTTTCAAATGCAAGATCATAACGTGAAGCAACTTGGAAGAATGAGTATGAATGCAAAGTGTATCGGGTAATGCATGTAGGGCGATTGTGCAGGTTCAAATACCAGGTTATGCCGTGAAAAGAAAATAGAATTGAAAAATTTATACCATCCCTATGCTTTTTGCCGAGGTCATCAAGGTGGTAGACGGTGTCGTATTACCCTCGGCCATACCTGTACCATGCCGTACCCTACCATCAAAGACGGCTGGCCACAAACAGCTGGCCACAATATTCAAATAGGGCTTTCAAATGCAAGATCATAACATGAAGCAACTTGGAAGAATTAGTATGTATGCGAAGTGTATCGGGGGATGCATGCAGGGTGATAGTATAGTGCGGATTCGAATCCCAGGTTTTGTCTTGAAAAAAAATAGGAGAAATGAAGAATTTACTATGCTTTTTTGCCTAGGTCATCAAGGCAAAAAAGCATAGCGTAGGGCCCTGAGCTTCCAAGCTCTCTCGTTTCGGACATCAGCTGGACAGAACAATATGTGCGGTAGTGCAGGTTTGATTTCAGCCAGGGGCAGTGTGATACAGCACAGCCAGGGGTAGCGTGATATCCCACAGCACAATGGTATTGTGACATCCCACAGCACAATGGTATTGTGATATCCCACAGCACAATGGTAATGGGATACTCGCCGCTAACATGAGCTCTGCATTGCATGAGTAGCGTCAAGAGTACATATCCCCCGGGGTTATGTACTTTTGGTAGCATGATGCTTGATTAAACGCTTTGGCCGTTGCCTAGCACCTGATCTCGTAACAATACATGCACAATGGGTGGCCACGTATATGACTGCATGTTGTCATAGCAACCTTGGAAACTCGCACAATGCAGTTTACAAAATGGCAGGTTTCACACACGTCCTGAATACTCTGTCAGTCTAAGATGCCTTAAAAATAGAATCGGAAAGATTTGCAACTAAATGAGCAGAGGAAATAGTAGCGGGGTTCGCATACATTTGTCGCGGCCCCCAAAAAACGAGAGAGAGAGAGCTAGACAGACACACAGACACAGTGGAAGAAAGAGACTGTGAGGAGGGGGGGGGGGGGGGGGAGGGAGTTGGTCGTGAAAAAGAAGCCACAAGAGCAGAGTGATACAGCCTGCCACGCCAGAGGCTAAATCAGAATATACATTGATTTGCTGAGGAGAGGACGAGAAGAAGAACATTTCACAACTGCTTGATTCATGCTGCAGGACAACCAGCAAGAGAAAGCGGCAGTTGGTAGATTTGTTTCTGCTGTGCGTCGTCCGTGTGACACATGCACTCAGCGTGATGCGCAAATCAGCTTTCTTGCACTAGCAGCTACGCACCCGGAGAGTGAGTGAGATTCGATCTTTGTACAATCAACTCTGTTGAACTATCCTACCTCCTGCCACCCTGCACCACCAGCTGCAATTGCAAGGCTGCATCGCACATCACAAAGGCGCTCTGCACTGACGTCGACACATCCGTCTAGGGAAGGCAGAAAACATTGACATGAACGCATGATTTACTGAACTCGGATACTGAGCCAATAAATATAATTAAAATAGAAGAAAACAAAAAAAACGAGTTACAATGAGAGTTTCCGGGGTACGATTTTCCGGGGTACGATTTTCCGTGCCAAAATCCATATGGGCGCTACTGATTTTTTTAGGCGTGCTCCATACGGAACCCGTGACTGGCTTTCATACAAACCATGTTTCGTATGAAGATTTTGCGTCATCGGGTGCAGACAGATTTTTCGCGTACAAATATTGTACGAGAAATGTCGATTTTCCGCAGGAAGTTCTGATTTTGGTACAAATTTTCAAGGCTAAAAGGCATAAGGAGGGAATATGACGTGTTCGCGATCGTAACCTGGGCAATGACGACAAAGACATGTTCCGTACTCAGGAACATTTCACTGCTCGAAAATGATATATAAAAATCCTCTACGGATTTTGGCACGAAAAATCGTACTCCGGAACCTCTCTAATAAGCAGTCAGAAAGTGCGATAACAGGGCACAAAACTGACATGTTACTGGGACATTCAACAAGCTAAGACCTAGCTATCACACACCTCCAGTGCGCGAACCAAGTCAACTCGTACACAATACTGTCATGCATGAGGAGTACCGTTAGATATTGGCGTCCGGTTTTGTACAATTCGTTTTGGCAAAGCTTCCCCCTTCAAGTCTTTATCTCTGATATTGCTGAACCACCCAAGTTGGGTGATGTGTTGCTTTGCTGCTTCGAATTGTAGTTGTAGTTATTAACTGGCCCCGTCATGGTCCTGTAACAGTCAGCATTCTGTGGTGCCGTGGGAATTAGCTTGTGCACATTTTCCCTGCGCTCACCTTCCCCTTATTGGTCCTAGCATAACCTTGAACCTTTCAAGCTGGAAGGCTGTTGGTTTGCACACTGGAGGTGTGTGACAGCTAGGTCTCAGGTCGTTGAATGTCTCAGTAACATGTCAGATTTGTGCACTATTATCTGTTATCGCACTTTCTGACTGCTCATTATCTTGTTGCAGTCATGGATAGTATCTTCAGAACTCGTTTCCATGTGATTTCTTCTATTTTACAAGTACTGAATACATGAGTCAAAACTATCCCTGAATAAGTGGGGTATTGTCACAGCAACATATTTTCACATGACATAATATTCTAGCAAACTAAGGGTATGGCCTTTGGGTGTAAAGGTCTACAGTACTGTCGGTTGCCAAAGAACTGAAGAGACGGGGGGGGGGGGGGGGGGGGGGGCAGCCTCCTGGCCTAGACCGTGTGCTTATTTTCATGCATCAAAAGGTCTATGCCGAGTTAAGTCACCGTTCCTTCAATTGTATGCTGTGCTGGGTGAAATCCTAGCCTGGTCGTGCTTCGGCGCTTCGCTCTTCAGCGCCTGACAGTGCTGTTGGTGACAATCAAATCCAGGAGTCGTGAAAATACATCACACGAGTGTAATCAGCTGGTTCAGCTTCAGCTGAACTTGATCTTACCTTGCTACTCGGCTATCAGTTACCATTGCACTGGTTGGTGGACAAACTGCATGATCTGTGTTGGTGATTTCCAGTACTTGAACACTGTCAGGTAGTCCATACTTGCCTGTGATAGCCAGCAAACAATGTGAAGTGTCAGCATAAAAAGAGTATCAACATACCCGTACATAACTGTCATAAATACTCATGACGGTACAAAACATATGTTGGGGGTGGGGTGGATACTGTGATTTCTACTTTGTTTTTCCAAGAACACTTACTATACCAACATTTTTTGAAATAATGTTCGGTTAACATATGAATTACGTATGAGTTAAACCATTGAGTTAAACCGTTGAATTAAACCGTTGTTAACAGTCACGTAACATCGCTCCGCTATTGGCTCTTTGTAACGGGTCGCATGGCCCTCGTTACGTGTGCGCACGATCTTGCTCTCTCTACATACCAAATTATCTCTAATATAAGCACGGTCCTTTATTTTTCAATGTACCTCCGCCCCGTGCTATTAATGGAGACGTTCCTTTATTGGAGACTGTTCCATTATTATTTCTACCTCATTTCAGAGGCATGCTGCCATGCCAAATTCATGTCAGACACACACATTTCAGGGGTTTTTCGCCGGTACAGATAATGAATTTACACAGTGTGCTTATAATGGAGACTGAGCACTTCATTTTTTGAATGCCGCCCCAAGGTGTTCTATTATTGGAGACGTGCTATTATTGGAGACTGTGCTTATATTAGAGATAATACGGTACTGTTGTGTATCATAGACATCACATGCCCGCATGATCTGCGCATGTGCAGATTTCCCGTGCGAACAACAGAGCTTGCTGTCCTTTCCAGTTCCCTTGCCTGCAGACAGCTTTCAAATTCTGACCCACCCTCCTCATCCCATTTCTTACTCTTACACTATACTCCACGTGGATGTTAATTCCAGGCAGGCACAGTGGGTTGCTCAAAGACCATGATTGAGATACGAGAGGTACCTGGTTTAAGTCCTGCCTGGGAGCGGTTTTCCAGCAGCGCTGCAACCCACAGTCAACTGGAAACTTGTGGCCGGGCACAAGGGGTACATGGATGCAGCTAATGGGGTTTCTCGGCACTTGTGCCAGTGGTTGTGAGACTGATCCCCTCACCCCCACCGTTAGGCGCTGCATCTGCCGCTAGGGTTTACTGGGTGTTAGCGGCGTTGTGTTGTGTTGTGTTGGTCCGAGGAAGCTGAGACGCTCCCTCCTTCCTTTATTCCCAATCGAATTCGCCACTTTCACAGAAACTGGGTGACTGCGCCCTACTAGATGGGGATTTGCATGTCAAATGTCACTAAAAGCGCCATTTCATTCTGATAGAAGCACGGATGACCGCGATTGCCCATATCCTGTAGTCTTTCAGACGCTGATTCAACTGGTTTTGGTCCGAGAAAGCTGCGATGCAGCGTTCGGCCCGTATTCCCAATCGAACATATTGATTAAGCGGTCACGTCCTCATGCGAGCACACATCACCTAGTCACCATGACTGCAGGCTACAACTTTCACACCAAGGTTCAACTCGAGTTCAACTCGAGTGACATGAATGCACCCAAGCAGGCTGTTAGCTGTACCCTGCAGGCACGGTGACCAGGTGACTGGTGTGCGCACGAGCACGTGACCGCTTATTCAACCATGTTCGATTGGGAATAAGGGCCGAACTCTGCATCGCAGCCTTCTCGGACCAAAACCAGTCGACTCAGTGTCGAAAAGACTACAACATATGGGCCAATCGCGCTCATCCGTGCTTTTATAAGGACAAAATGGCGCTTTTAGTGACATTTTGCGTACAAATACCCATCCAGCAGGGCGCAGTCACCCAGTTTTGGTGGAAGTGGCGAGTTCGATTGGGAATAAAGAAGGAAGGGAATCTCAGCTTCCTCGGACCAAGACCATTCGACTCAGCACATCGAAGACTACAACTGGTGAAAACTTGATTAACGGCTTAACTTCCCCTAAGTGGATAACCAAGTCATACTTGTTTGAAGTACGTAACTTATTAACAAACTACTGATGATGGCTCTTGGCCGATATGCTCTCAAAACGAATCATGTGGGAATACTCGGTGAATTTGTTTCACCCATAGTCATGATTCCACCCAGCTTGCTACAATCTTGACAGTACAGTAAAAGTTCCCTAATCAGAGGACTTCCGTCTACGCTCAGACGGGAAAAACAAAACTATTCCAAGTTTCGGGAAATTCCCAGTTATAGGCAGTGTCCGATCCCAGCCTTTCCAGATAGGTTGCGATGGTGATGGTGATGGCGGTGGTGATGGCGGTGGTGATGGTGATGGTGGTGATGATGGTGATGTGTGTGTGTGGGGGGGGGGGGGGGGGGGGTTCTACTGTAAACTTGTTTTCAAAACCAACACAAATGATGACATACTAGTAAGCAACTACGACGACGACGACAACGACGATGACGACAACAACAACAACAACAACAACAACGTACCTCTGCTGTCAATGTTATCTATCCTTCTCCGTTCTTGGCTTCTGCTATCTGCACCCACCACTGATACATGGCTGATTATCTCTGCTGTGAAAGCTGTCCTCCGTGCTCAGTTTCTGATCCAGTATGCCGCCAGTGATAACATGTCTTCCAGCTTGACATTTGGCTACCTTGCTTCCATCATCATCACTTCATTGTGGGAAAGTTGCTGGAACGGTTCTGGATACTGAGCGATGAACTCGTCAGGCAAGCTGGCCATCATGATGCCGCCTTTGTACGGCTGCCAGGTTAGGTTGGAGATATCGGCCGTTCCCCTCGTCAACACCGTCGTTGCCAGTTCATTCCAGTGAGCATGTGTACATATCATTGTACGGGTAACAGCAATGAGCAGTTTTTGATTGATCATAAAAATCATGCTCTGCACTGTCCTCACAGACGTCCAGTGAGTCATGCTGCCCAGAATGCAGTTCCAGCGGTGATCATTGATCCGTGTGTCCCACCAATCAAGATCTTCATGGCTCTACAGTCTGGTAGGTTGGATTCAGCGCTGAGAGTTCTTTTGACACTTGAAACACAGTTGCGCTTTCCAACGGCCGTAAGAGAGTCGTCAGCCACTGGCTATGCAACTCTGTTGTTGTTTTGCTGTGTTGTACGGGCGGAGCACAAAGACACAGTTGGTTCTTTGCAGCAAGCCTCTACTTGCTACGTGTGTGACTGTGGCCGCCATTGCATGCCTTTTTTCATAGCTTGCACGTTCCTCAAGAGGCTTCTGCTCCTGGACAATCCTTTCTGCTTTCACTCACTGTAATAATCGCTGGCAACCCTGGCCACGTCATTGGCCACAGAGCTCGCTAGCAGTGGTCGCTCGTCCCCTGTCCGAAATTTCCAGTCCACTGTCGCATACTCTTGGACCATACAGGTACCGAACAGAACTGCACGGATACCGTAGAGAAACCAGACACGTGCGCTATTGTAACGTTAGGCAGATCAGTTAGATCAGTTGACCATCTAGTCACGCACCGCATTTCTATTTGACGTTTGAATGGATGTTCAAATAATATCCAACAGCCTCAATACTCCAGTCTCAGGTCCGTGGTCATCAAAATCATGAGGATCAACACTTGTTTTTCTATAACTGTCTGGCTTTATTCAATCTTTGACCATTATCACTGCCATTGTAGGACCAACCGTTTACTCGATTCATAAATCATCATTATTTTTTAGATTATCGGATCAGTGCTTGGCTTATGCACTCATACCATGCATACTCTGCCAAGGAACCGAAAACGACAAAAAAATACCGGGCTCAGGTCTTTCTTCATACACGCATGCGCCATGGCAACCACGTCCGGAGAGTCGGAGACCCCAGGCCACCTGCCCAGCATCGGCCAAAGGCAAAGCGGCCTCTGGTCCGTCTGGAGACTGCAGTACTATACTGAAGTACCGGACCGTTGACGGTCATCTCCTTCGGATCATTTTTCTAGTGCTGATAGCGAAGAGCATAAATCTATGTGAGCTTGATGCTGAACATTTCGAGCGTTATTTTCGAAAGAGTTGTTTGCCTTCATCAAGTTCGCTCTGTACCTGAGCCACAACTGCTGAACGGCTTGTAGTACGTGACAGTACGTATTATTGCTTGAGAAAAGACAACTCTTTGATCCTAAGAAGTTCTGCAGTAACTCGATGTCGATCGTGCACGGCTGTTCAAAACTCGCGAAAAAGCGACATGAGGCCCCGGGTTCGAGTCCAGGTCAATCAACTGTGTTTTTTCAAATTTTTCGCTGAGAGCCTCAATTTCGCGATCCTCACCCACGTCTCAAACCCATCAATATTGCCTCGCCACGTCGCTCACACACCACTCAGAACACCCAGTCCCGGTGCAGCAGGTGCAAGAGAAAATGCTGACAACTCGATCGCTCGAACGATCTTCTTTCTCCGTTTCGTTTTCCTGTTGGAGCCGTTTCCAGTGTTGAGAGTTTGTTTGTTTTGAAGTCGTAGCGTAGGAGCTGGGTTCACCCGAGGTCGTTTTCCTAAGGCTGCTGCTGCTCTTCGTCCTGTTTTCCTGGGTTAGTTTTTAGTTTTCTGTGCTTGCCTTGCTGGTCTAGTTTCCAATTCTGCACAAATCTTGCTGGACCGACGTACTTTGCCTTAGACCAAGGCGCCTTTGTGATGCCAACTTTGCATTGAATATGGATCAACACGTGCAGTACCTTTCAGCTGTGTGCAGAATTGGTGGGGAGAGATTCTCGTCGCATGCCAAAAAAAACAAGCATGAAGCTCACGAATACTCCGTTGGCATACAGATGTCTTTGAGTGCGATGTCACCAAGGATGAGGCACACATACATCCACGCTACATCTGTAGCCCTTGCCATCAAGTTATTTTACGTAGTGAGGAAAAGGGGTACAGGCACTGTGGTGGTGGCTGTGCAGGCAAACTTGTAGCTTGGGTGGCCCATGCAGAGCCAGACTGTACGTTCTGCAAGAACATGAAAAGTAGCAGCAAGGGTGGGAGGAAACCAAAAAAGAAAAAAATGCCTACATACAGTAGTACACAGCACTCTGCATTGTCTTCGTCGGCTTCCGCGGCCGCGTCAGCTTCCGCAGCCGCGTCAGCAGACGACAGTGCCACATCTACTGGCATTGATCTTGAAAGCATGCAGGTGCTTTTGGACACGGGGTCGCCTTCCTACAAAGCGAGCCAGGTGCTGTCACCTGATCGGTTTCAATTTATTTTCCCTTCTGTTACATGTAGCGTATGCCGGCACGTCGCCGACAATGCACTTACGACGCCTTGCTGTAGCAAGCTAGTTTGTGTGCCATGTGTTTGGGAGCACCTCAGCACTACGCGTACCTGCCCTTCTTGCATGTGTGACATGTATGCATCTGGAATGAGAAAGTTGTCATCATTTGAGCTGGAATGTCTTTCTCATCTGCCAGTGAGGTGTGACAATTACGTGTCCTCTCTTTCTGGCTGCCAGCACAGCATGAAACTGTTCTCATTGCAGACGCATATGAAGGTCTGTCCTTTCAATGCATACAGTGGCCCTGCCTGTGTGACCAGGTCGACTACTGTCGCAGATGTATTGACAGCGTCACCCAGCAAGCTTCGTGGGAAGGCAGCGGAGCATTTGACTACCCACTTGGTACAGTCAAAGTCCACTGATGGTAGGCTAGAGTTACGGACGGGTGGTACCCCTGCTTTGTATGTGCGTACAACGCAAGGTGGCAGTGATGCTGTGTCTGTAAGGCAGATGCAGAGGAGGTCGGCAGAAATCCGACAGGCGAAAGAGGTAGTCTGTGGGGGCACTGTTGGTGTCGGTAAGCAAGATGCCTATGAGCTGCGTAGTATGGGTCAGATAGACCGTGAAAATTTGCTTAAATCTGCCGGTGTGTCTCCTTGTGCACCTTCATCTCATTCTGCCCTTGCTTTAAAAGCAGATCTGCACATGCCTTGGAACCAGCTGAGGAAACTGCGGAGGTGGCTCAAGTCCTTTGGGTGTGAGATTGAGTCGGAGAACACCATGCGGCAGCAGCTTGCGGCAGAGGTACCTGCATTTTATGCTTCCGAAATGTGCCCTTTCACTCTTCCGGGTGGTGATGTAGTTTCGTCACCAATGGTTGTGGCATGCAACCTCACAGAGATTGTCCTTTTCTTCTTGGACCAGTACGAGGAGGCTGGTATGCTTACCGACCATGGTGTTATCCCGCAGGATGAGATTTGGGTGAAGTTAGGGGGAGATCATGGGGGCGGGTCTTTCAAATTATCCTTCCAGGTTTGCAACATCCCTCACCCAAATGCTGTGAAAAACACCATCCCTATCCTTGTGTTCAATGCAAAAGATACCCCGGGCAACCTTTCCACTGCTTTTGCGTCACTTGTACAACACATTGACAGCCTTGCTGCAACCACATGGCAGAACAAGTCGTTTCGCCTTATTTTGTTTGGCGACTACGAGTTTCAAACGACTGTTTATGGCCTGTCAGGATCTGCAGGAGTGCATCCGTGTCTGCACTGCTTGAGTACAAAGCAACAGATACAACAGTGCCCCGCTGATTGGGAGCAGCAGCCAGAGCCACGCACGCTCGACACACTCTCACTTCACCATGGCCAATTTATGGCTGACGGTGGGCGCTTATCCAAAGCAAAGCATTTCTACAATGCCATACGTCCTGCCATGCTCTCTGTTCCTATTGATCATGTGTGCCTGCCAGCCTTACATCTTGATCTCGGAATCTATTTATGGGTCTTTGACTCCTTTGTCAAGGAGTGTAAGCATATTGATTTGAAAATGGCATGCGAGGTAGAAGTGAGTGAGGCAGATTCAGCTGCCTTTAAAAAGCTGATAGAAGATCAGAAAGAATGTAAGAAAAAAAGATTAGAACTGGAAGAAAAATCTAGTCAGCTTGCTGTCTTGACTGGCCAGATGCAATGGGTTGCTCTCCATTTTGGCAATCCGGAGCAGCAAAACAACCTCCAGGCTTTGGTTGGTAACCTCCAGCATGCTGCCACGCAAATGCAGCAGCAGGTCACAGCTCTGCAGGGTGACATAAGAAAACACGAGCAGACCCTCACAAATGCAAAGCTCGACAACGGGCCTTGCAACCAGTATGTTGAGGCTGCTTTACAAAAGCACAACATCTGCCGGCAAGTGTACCATGGGGGTTCATTTATTGGCAACCATGTCCACCACGCGCTTACAGACTCCGTCATCACTGACTTGACCTCATTCATTGCAGTTGTTGAGAAGCGTGCACCCTCTCTGGCTGCTGATGCTTCAGCTGTATCCAGCAGATACAAGCTGTTGTTCCAACAATACGCAAAGTGTCACGTCGCATTTTCCGGAACTTCAGCAGTCTCAGCAGAAGTTTGCGACCAGCTGCAGAGCGATATCGACAAGTTTATGGTGTCAGTTCGTAGGGAGATTGTTCCTCGTAGCCTTGGCCGGGTTACTCCAAAGCTGCACCTTTTGGAGTGTCATGTAGTTCCGTTCATGCGGAAGTTCAAAGTAGGTCTTGGGTTGCTTGCTGAGCATGGGGCAGAATCCATTCACAAAGAGTTCAACACCCTTCTTCTCCGTCATGGTGGCATTGTAGATCCTCTACAAAGGCTTCGAGTCACTGTCCAGCAGCACCTTATCGCAGCTCTCCCCAGTTTACGACCTCTGGTCCCAGCTCCTCGCAAACGAAGTAGAAAGGAACAGTCCTGAAATACTTTGTTTGCTCAGTTCAATTTTCAGTGTAGTGCGTTGATCGCGGGTGGTTGGTGGGTGAGTTGGCGTCAGTTCAAGTAAACGAACTGCCTCCAGCTTGCTCGTGAGTAAAGAGCAGAAAACTAACAACGAACTGGACCACCTGCTATCGTCAGCAAAGGAGAACAGCTACAGCCAGGTAATGTATCCATTATCTTTCTCTATCGTTATTATTTTATTCAAATCAGCTTCACAGTTTGGCGATTTCGCTGCATCTCTCATTGATTTGGCATCAGTTCGATCTCACAAACTGTTCACAGCTGGCCGGCAAGACGACGCGCGAGGCCAGACAACACAGGTACACCGAACAGGGCCGACTATTATCAGGAGAGAATAAAACAATTCCTTCAAACTTCATCTTCTCACTCGATGGATTTTGAAAAATTCCTGTTCGAAGGTACGATCGCTTGGCCACGCTACCCCACGCGTACATGTTACCATGGGATTCTGACGTACAGTACGCGCGTGCATACAGCGCGTGCAGTGCAAAAAAATCGACGCCATTTTGCCTGATGTCGCACTCGAAACAGCCGTGCGTGATCAGTCCGCAGTGCGAGTGAACTGTGGTCACGCGGACAGGCAGGAGTGTGAACAATGGCAGACAGGGTGCGCTATAACATAGCCTTCTTACTTTCCAATCTAGATGCATCCTTGATCTTGGAACTCTTGCTGGAGAATGATGTGCTGGACGTAGATGAATATGATACTGCCTCTAGCAAGGAAAACGTGAAGTCTGATCTGACAAAGTACGTGGTGAGGCTGATGCTGAAGAAAACGGAGGAACAGGTGGATTCGTTCCTGAAGCTGATTCAACACAGCCAACCCGATGTTGCTAAACATGTCGCCAACACCATGGCAAAGCGACGCGATGCAACTGCCAATGGGGGAACTGACCGTCCGACGAAGCCAATGTCGGCAGATCGTGAGTCAACACTTGGCTCGTCCTCCGGTAAGT